GGAGATCAGGCCCAAGCAGATCAGGCCCGAGCAGATCAGGCCCGAACAGATCAGGTCTAAGCAGTTCAGGCCCGAGCAGATCAGGTCCAAGGAGATCAGGCCCAAGCAGATCAGGCCCGAGCAGATCAGGCCCGACAAGGACAGGCCCGACAAGGACGGGCCCGACAAGGACATGCCCGAGCAGATCAGGCGCAAGCAGATCAGGCCCGAACAGATCAGGTCTAAGCAGTTCAGGCGCAAGCAGATCAGGCCCGAACAGATCAGGTCTAAGCAGTTCAGGCCCGAGCAGATCAGGTCCAAGGAGATCAGGCCCAAGCAGATCAGGCCCGAGCAGATCAGGCCCGAGCAGATCAGGCCCGAGCAGATCAGGCCCGAGCAGATCAGGCCCGAGCAGAACAGGCCCAAGCAGATCAGACCCGAGCAGATCAGGCCCGAGCAGATCAGGCCCAAGCAGATCAGGCCCAAGCAGATCAGGCCCGAGCAGATCAGGCCTAAGCAGATCAGGCCCGACAAGGACAGGCCCGACAAGGACGGGCCCGACAAGGACATGCCCGAGCAGATCAGGCGCAAGCAGATCAGGCCCGAACAGATCAGGTCTAAGCAGTTCAGGCCCGAGCAGATCAGGTCCGAGGAGATCAGGCCCAAGCAGATCAGGCCCGAGCAGATCAGGCCCGAGCAGATCAGGCCTAAGCAGATCAGGCCCGACAAGATCAGGCCCGACAAGACGGGCCCGACAAGGACAGGCCCGAGCAGATCAGGCGCAAGCAGATCAGGCCCGAACAGATCAGGTCTAAGCAGTTCAGGCCCGAGCAGATCAGGTCCAAGGAGATCAGGCCCAAGCAGATCAGGCCCGAGCAGATCAGGCCCGAACAGATCAGGTCTAAGCAGTTCAGGCCCGAGCAGATCAGGTCCAAGGAGATCAGGCCCAAGCAGATCAGGCCCGAGCAGATCAGGCCCGAACAGATCAGGTCTAAGCAGTTCAGGCCCGAGCAGATCAGGTCCAAGGAGATCAGGCCCAAGCAGATCAGGCCCGAGCAGATCAGGCCCGACAAGGACAGGCCCGACAAGGACGGGCCCGACAAGGACATGCCCGAGCAGATCAGGCGCAAGCAGATCAGGCCCGAACAGATCAGGTCTAAGCAGTTCAGGCGCAAGCAGATCAGGCCCGAACAGATCAGGTCTAAGCAGTTCAGGCCCGAGCAGATCAGGTCCAAGGAGATCAGGCCCAAGCAGATCAGGCCCGAGCAGATCAGGCCCGAGCAGATCAGGCCCGAGCAGATCAGGCCCGAGCAGATCAGGCCCGAGCAGAACAGGCCCAAGCAGATCAGACCCGAGCAGATCAGGCCCGAGCAGATCAGGCCCAAGCAGATCAGGCCCAAGCAGATCAGGCCCGAGCAGATCAGGCCTAAGCAGATCAGGCCCGACAAGGACAGGCCCGACAAGGACGGGCCCGACAAGGACATGCCCGAGCAGATCAGGCGCAAGCAGATCAGGCCCGAACAGATCAGGTCTAAGCAGTTCAGGCCCGAGCAGATCAGGTCCAAGGAGATCAGGCCCAAGCAGATCAGGCCCGAGCAGATCAGGCCCGAGCAAATCAGGCCCGAGCAGATCACGCCCGAGCAGATCAGGCCCAAGCAGATTAGGCCTAAGCAGATCAGGCCCGAGAAGATCAGGCCCGAGCAGATCAGGCCCAAGCACATCAGGCCCGAGCAGATCAGGCCCGAGCAGATCAGGCCCAAGGCGATCAGGCCCAAGGCGATCAGGCCCAAGCAGATCAGGCCCAAGCAGATCAGGCCCAAGCAGATCAGGCCCGAGCAGATAATAATAAATTAGGTGTTTGAACCTCAGAGCTGAAAGCAAAGCTGTGCAACCCCGACATCAACATCACAAGGGCACGCAAAACAACACAAGAGAACAAGTTACATTCGGCACGCAAAACAACACAAGAGAACAAGTTACATTCGCTGGCTTTTATCATGCCAAGAAGTACAAGCGCGAAGAATCCTGCACATAGAAACAAAAATCGTACAAAACGACCAAGTATAACCAGAGATCAAACACAAGACACCCAAAAGGGCAGTCACACATCACAAGTATAAGCCATCACAGCACAAACACAATGAACACCACGGCACGCTCACATCCAACGAGACACAACGTCGGATTGAGGAAAACAACCGACCACAGAAGACAAAGGCATCATACAAAGGACTTTACAAAAATTCAGCAAAAATACCACAAAATACAGCAAAAATTAAAGCAAAATTAAAACAAAAATACAAGTCAAGCCATCAACAGACACAACGAGAACCACCTAGGGAGTGACGGGTGCACACAGGGATCCCCACAGAGGGACCCCCGGGACGGTGCCTACCTACGACGAGCGCAGGCAGACACCGCCAAAGTGGCGCTGGATGTGGTCAGCGTTCATCTGATGGACCAGCGCCGCAAAGCGACCCTTCCACCGAGGAACAAAGGCCTCGTCCAGCCCCGGCTGGTACACACCACGGGCCTCGGCGCAGCGNGCGAGCTGACCAAGCAGATCCACAAAGGAGGAGGCGAACCCACCGGTTGTCGTCATCGCCGC